AGCTCTGCCTGAGCTGGAGACGAGCTGCGCGGATCCAGTCGATCAGCACCTCAGTGACATCACCCTTGTTGCGCAAGGGGAAGACTGCGGTATAACGCGAGTAGTCGTCAACAACTAGCAGGAAGTAGCGCTCGTGACCCTGTCCACGGACGCGGGCTGGGCCCCACACGTCCATGTGAAGCGTCTGCAACGGGGCCTTTGTCGGAGGAAACTGGGAGGAGTGAGGGGTAGCACGTTGGCGCCATTCGACACAGGGGACACATGTAGGGCCAAGGCCCTGAGGAAGGGGAGGTAGGGACCGGGGGAGACCAGAAACAAGAAGACGAGAGGCCATGCCTCTGAGCCGAAGCAGAGAGGGGTGACCAAGGCGGTGGTGCCAGAGGAGAGTCTCGTGATACAGGAGACGACACGAACAGGGGGTTGACTCAGGACCAGACCTGGACGCTGCAGCAAACACCTGACCCGACGCAGCTACCCTACCAGGCTAAGCAACTGGAGGAGACGCAATGGTCAGTGTGTACAGGCTCGACCCCGGCCGACGAGTAAACGTGGCCAGGTGTCGGCCTGTCCGAGCGTCTGTGCAGTGGGTCACCCGCTGACTCGCAGGAGTGAACTGGTGAACCCCCGCATCCTGTAGTTCAGCACCACTCACCAAGTTCGTAGAGAACGAGGGGAGGTAAGGACCAGACAGGGTGCCAGAGGGGGCCGCCGGACACGGGAGGACAGTGGAGAAGTGAGCAAGGACAGGGCCCCCAGAGGGGTCTGCCAGAGAGACTGCAACTGGCCGACCAAGCGGCGTGAGTGTAGTGCACTCTCGAAAGAAGGAGCGGGAAGCCCCCGAGTCAAGGGTGAAGGTGTGAGAGGCCAGAGCCGACGCGGTACCTGAGAGAGCAGACTCACCCGCACCTGAGGAAGCAGACTCACTAGCACCTAGAGCAGCAGCCGCACCTGTACCTGGAGTAGGAGACACACTAGCACCCAGAGCAGCAGCCGCACCAGCAGCTAGAGCAGCAGGCTCTATACCCTGGTCAGGCGGTACGCACAGGTGACCGGCACGATCAGCACTAGTAGGCAATGCATACATGGCAGTGAGAATAGCATCATAGTCAAGAGCAAATATATCTACCCTCTGCCTAAGCAACTCCACCCAGTCGGGGAGCTCAGCCTCGTCGCCAAACTCGGTACGCCAGGCGTCGCTGAGACGGGCGAAGGAGCGGGACGGTGTTTGAATAGGCGTCCCACAAGGCTGACCAGTCCGAGCACCAGTGCGAATCACGTAAGAGCAGCGAACAGAACTGAGAGACCCTCTACTCTGAGCGTACCACTCACGAAGCTGCTGGGGCGTTAGAGACGCGCGTGGGCGTCGCTGGAGCTGCATCTGGCCGCCGCCAGTAGAAGCAGGAGCAGGAGTAGCAGCAGTAAGGCAGGCAGCCAAGCAAGCAGCAGGCAGCGCGCTAGTAAGGCAGGGGCTCACCAGTGGTGGGAAGAGCAGGCTCGACGACTCGGCGACTCGGCGACTCAGCGGCACGGCGGCACTGCAGCAACTGCGGCTCGGCGGCTCGGGCGACTCGGGCGGCTCGGCTGCTCGGGCAACTCGGGCGGCTCGGCGGCTCGGCGGCTCGGCGGTACGGCTGCTCGGCAGCAACTGCAGCTTGGCGGCTCGGCGACCCGGCGGCTCGGGCGGCTGAGGTGGCGCTGCGGCTCGGGCGGCTCGGGCGGCTCGGGTGGCTCGGGCGGCTCTGGTGGCTCGGCTCTAGCTCGGCGGCGCCGGCGGCTCGGTGGTGACGGCGGGGCCGCCTGGGGACGGCGGCGGGGCCGGGTGGAGCGGCGACGGGGCCAGCAGAGGCGGCGCCGGGGCCGGCAGAGGTGGAGCCAGGGCCGCAGGGGCAGGCGACGGGGCCAGCAGAGGCGGGGCCGGGTCGGTGCAGGGCTGCGGGGCCGCAAGGGAGGTGGCGGGGCCGCGGTGGAGAATGGCGGCAGGTGCCGCGACGAAGGGCGGCAGGGGCCGCGACGAAGGGCGGCAGGGGCCGCGACGAAGGGCGGCAGGGGCCGCGACGAAGGGCGGCAGGGGCCGCGACGAAGGGCGGCAGGGGCCGCAACGAAGGGCGGGGCCGCGATGAGAGTGGCGGGGCCGCGACGAGAGATGGCGGGGCCGCGACGAGAGGTGGCGGGGCCGCGACGAGGGGCGGGGCCGCGACGTAGGGCGGGGCCGCGACGTAGGGCGGGGCCGCGACAAGGGGCGGGGCCGCGACAAGGGGCGGGGCCGCAACAAGAGAGGCGGGGTCGCGCGCCTCGGGCCGCGCCGTTGGCGCGCGGCGAGATGAAAATAGGTCGCACGCCGTGGGGCGTGCGACAGATCGAGTAGCAGCGGAAGCAGTAGTAGGGCCTTAGGAACAGTTCCCACGAGGGAACCTGCTCGATACCATGTGAAAATTGAAACGAGAATGATTCAACTATGAAAGAGTTGGGTACAAGTACTAACCCTAATTGGGTTGTACCCCATGTGGGCTACCCCACTACAGCCTACACAAATGTATAAGCTATATGTTCTGACAATTCCGGGCAGACCTTCTCAAACGTTTTGAGCCGATTAATTCCACTTATATTGCGCGCAAAAAATTACATCCCCATTGGCAATTCGGGAGTGTTGCGCAATACTCACAGCAGATAGAGGAATTTTATAATCGCATTCCCGACATTACCGAGGGCGAAAAAATTCAGTCCTACATCGCGGGGCTGAAAACCGACATTCGGCGCCAGGTTGCAGCAGCGAATTGCAGCAGCTACAGCGAAATCGTATCGGCCGCGGAGCGTTTTGACTTGGTCAACTCCGGAACACGACGGCCCCACGTCGTCGGATCACGACAAGGGGATCGCTCGGCTTCAACCACGTTCGCCGACCCCATGGAAGTCGACAAATTCGACGCGAATTCACGACCTGTTAGAATCCCAACCACTAGACCATTGGGATGAAAGGGCTTGTTTCAGTAGCGGGTTAGTGCGCCCATAACCCCCCAGGCAAACGCGCCTGTAACCCCCCCTAGGATCGATCGGAGATCTCACAGTGTAGCTCTACTGACACGACCTGCAAAAAACAAAACGTTTAGCGAATTTTGCGGCGGAAACGGACATCGGATTGTCGACTGTTTTCACATGAAATCTGCACGTGCGGCATTCCAAGCTCGTGGGAGTGGCGAAACCAAAGAAAAAAAGTCAAAAAAACGGATCTCGCCAGTGATCGCGGATCGTGCTGGCGAGGAAAAGCAGATCCGAAAGCGTCAGCGCAATCTGGACCGAATCGAAATTGAAGGACAGCATTGGGCGCGAGATTTGGAGAATCAAGGGCGAAATCCCAAACCCCTTGACCGAAATTTGTCAGAATGAGAAACGAGAATGAGCAGTGACTAGCAGGAACAACAGTACAAATATGTCAAACCCTAATCTGGTGTACCCCTTATGGTGTGACCCACTACAGCCTAGAACCACACAAACATATAAATGTTTGACACACCCCCATAGGCAAAGTGGGGGAGACCTAGGGGTCACAAGACCAGTCAAGGCAAAACAAGGCAAACAAGCTCAGGGTGGATCTCGAGGATTCCACACAAATTCCGAGCACAAGCAAGCGGTCACAAGACCAGTTCACATGCAGTTTTATAATAGAGCAAGAGGTACAATGATCACAACCTAACAAGGCAAACATGCAGGTATATATATAATGATCACAGTACAAGTAAAGTCAAGAAGTAGGTAAGTGAGAAACAGTCGGCACAAGGCCTAGAAGAGTGCAAAAACGCTGATGGTCAACAGGCGGAAGCGCCTTGGTGAACACATCAGCAGTGTTGGCCTCAGTGGCCACGTAACGCAGAAGAAGCTGACCACGCTGCTGTAGCTCTCGAGCTAGAAAGTAACGCAGAGCAATGTGCTTCGTCCTGTGCTCCAGCCTGTGCTCCTGGCACAAGGCAATGGTTGCCTTGTTGTCGACGTACAGCACTGGAGGAGAACGAGGCTGCTCTCCAAGGTCAGTCAGCAGGTAGGTGAGCCAGCGAAGCTCCTGGGCAGCCATGGCCGTGGCGTAGATCTCAGCCTCACAGCTGGAGCTGAGAACAGAAGAAGAACGAGTAGAACGCCAAGAGACAGAGCCAGAGCCAAGACTGAAGGTGTAACCCTGAGAGGACCGCTGAGTAGCCTGGTCGTCTGCCCAAGAAGCGTCTGAGTGCCCAGTGAGAACAGGCCGGTCTCGCCCTCCAAGCACTAGCCCCATGCCCGACGTACTGCACAAGTAGCGCAACACCCTCTTAGCTGCATCCATGTGCTCCTTCCGGTGACGGCCGGGAGCAACATAGCGTGCTAAGATGCTGAGAGGGTATGCTAGGTCAGGTCGAGTGCAGGTCATTAGGTACATGAGGCAGCCCACAAGCTCTGGATACGGACCACTCGACTCTACGGACTCATCCGAAGGCAGAGCTGAGAGCGAGTGACCCGTAGGCAGAGGAGTGGACTGAGGCGAGGAGTACGTGAAGCCGAAGCGCTGAAGGACCTGCTGCACCATGTGTGACTGAGTCAGGGTAATGGTGCGGCGTGCTCTGTCCCGGGTGATCCGCAAGCCAAGATAGCTTGTCAGTTCACCCAGGTCTGTGCACGTGTGTCTCTTCTGCAGCTCGGACTTCACGTGGGCGAGTGCGGCAGTGTCCGCAGTGGCAAAGACCAAGTCGTCGACGTACACGAGGATGTAGAACGGCGGCAGCGAGGTGTCGATGCGCAGAAACAGCGACGGGTCAGCAGTAGAAGGAGCAAACCCAAGAGCCGCAAGTGTAGTCCTCAGTATGTCGTGCCACTCACGCGGCGCCTGGCGGAGACCGTAGACTGGCCGCCGGAGGCTCCACTGGGTGCCAGGAGGGAACGACCCAGTGAAGCCAGGTGGGCGGCGCAGCCAGATCTCCTCGTGCAGGCTGCCCTGCAAGAAAGCTGTGCTGAAGTCAAGAGAATGGAGCTCGTAGTCACGCTGAGCGGCGACGTGTAGTAGAACCCGAAGAGTGGTCATCTTCGGGGTCGGGGAGAAGGTCTGGAAGAAGTCAACTCCCTCTCGCTGACTGAAGCCTCGTGCAACGTAACGCGCCTTGAAGACAGGCGGAGAGCCTGGCGGCCGCTTCACCCTGAAAATCCACATGCCACTGACGATGTTCGCCCCAGGTGGGGGAACGTCGTCGACGTAGGTGCCTGTGGACTTCCAGGAAGCCATCTCTGTGTCCATGGCTGACTGCCACTGAGAGGAGTAGGGAACGGCCATCGCCTCTGCGTAAGAGCGTGGGGTCGGGATGTCTGGTGCATCTGGGTCTCCCTCAGGGGCAACAAGCATGGACACGAGATGGGGCAAAGCAGCGGCAAGGCAACCAAACTCCTCCTGCCTGTCCTCAAGGACGTCCGTGCCAAGAGCACACTCACCCCCGACGGACGAAGGACAGGCAGACCCAGACTCAGCAACAAGACTCGCTGCGTAGTCTAGACGATACGCAGCTGCAAAGTCGACAAGCTCAGTGACTAGGGCAGACGCAGCAGCGGACTCAAAGGAAGGGTCAGTGACAACCGTAGCCAGGAGACGTGTGACAGTAGGACTGGCAGCGCGAAGGGAGTCTGACTCCGGGTCAGCAAGAGCAGGAAGAGAGGACGCAGGAGGCGACGGGAGAGCAACACGCTGCGGAGCAGTGGACTGACGAAGCGCCATCCGGTGCGTGCCTGGGACAGCAGGAGGACGCTCACGCGAGACACGACTACAAGTGGTAGCAGCTCGAACAAGCGACGCTCGACGAGACGCAGGTGACACAGGACGTGACGCAGGCTCACGTCTCTCAGCAAGACCGTCAGTCGGACCAGTGTAAGGAGCAGGCACAGGGAGTGGGGAGGCAGGCGGTAACTGTGGCTGTGACTGGACAGACGGCGGACACTCTAAGGCGAGAGGAGAACAAGGAGGAGGAGGCTGACCAAGAACCTGCTGAAGGAGCGGAACGAAGTACGGTCGTGGCCGTGCAGCAGCTCTCGAACCAGCAGAGACACCAGCGGCAGCAGCAGCACCTCCAGAAGCAGCAGCACCTCCAGCACCAGGGTCCGCAGCACCTCCAGCAGCACCTCCAGCAGCACCGCCAGCAGCAGCAGTACCTCCAGCAGCACCGCCAGCAGCAGCTGCACCTCCAGCACCAGGGTCCGTAGCACCCACAGCAGCTCCAACGCCCAGGTCCTCAGTACTAGCAGCACCTCCAGCAGCACCGCCAGCAGCAGCAGCAGCACCTCCAGCAGCACCGCCAGCAGCAGCAGCACCTCCAGCACCAGGGTCCGTAGTACTCGCAGCAGCGTCAACTCCGGGGACCCCAGCACCAGCAGCTCCACTACGGAGACTGATGTGCCGAGCGTACCACTCTCGAAGCTGAGGGGAAGAGGGCGGCTCCCGCCGTGGTGGGGAAGCACGAGTACCAACTCCAGCAGTACCACGAGCCCGAGACTCACCCCGCCGGAGGCTGCAGTACCGTGAGTACCACTCACGCAGCTGCTGCGAAGAGGGAGGTCCTCCAGGCGCCTCACAGTCAACTGCAACACCACCAGGCTCAGCACCCCCAGGCTCAGCAGCTCCAGGCGCAGTACCCCTAAACAGAGGGGAAGCGTGACGCCAGGCTCAGTACCCCCAAACTCAGTACTGAGTCGGGATCCCCAGACACGGAAGCGTGACGCATCGCCAACCTCCCCCGTCCACAGCAGTGTGGGCGAGGTCTCCGGAGCGCAGACACGGGGCCAGAGGTTGAGCTGATGTGCAGCGTACCGGACCGCAAACGGCCACAGAAAGTGGGGGGCAGCCGCGTGGACTAAGGAGGTACGAGCGACCTCCATGACCAAGCCAATGCGGCGCTCAGCAACCCCATTCTGCTGTGGAGAGGCCGGGAGCGTGAACGACTGGCGAATGCCATGCTCGGCACAGTAGGCTGCCAAGAGGTCGGAGGAGAACTCGCCACCTCTGTCAGAGTGCAAGCGCAGAACAGGAAACTCCGAGCGAAAACGCTCTCGCAGCTGAAGACGTGCTCTGCTGATCCAGGGAATCAGAACATCAGGGACTTCACCCTTAGTGCGCAAGGGGAAGACCGTGGTGTAGCGCGAGTAGTCGTCAACGATGATCAAGAAGTACCTCTCCTGGCCCTGACCACGGACGCGGGCTGGGCCCCACACGTCCATGTGGAGCGTCTGCAAAGGAGCAGTCGTCGGGGGGAAGGAGGAGGAGTGAGGGGCAGCGCGCTGCCGCCCCTCGACACAGGGAAGACAAGGAGGAGCAAGGGAGGGTGGGAGGGGAGGGAGTACCCGAGGAAGACCAGAGACAAGGTACCGGGCGTGCATGCCCCGAAGGCGCTGCACTGACGGGTGACCAAGTCGGTGGTGCCAGAGGACAGTCTTGTGCGCTAGAGAGCGACACGAGCAGGGGGCAGAGAGCTGACCTGACGCAGACGCAGACGCAGACGCCGCTACCTGAGGGGACTCAGTGGTCAGTGTGTACAGGTCCGACCCCGGCTGCCGAGTGAAGGTAGCCAGGTGACGGCCCGTCCGAGCACATGTGCAGTGTGTCACACGCTCGTAGGCAGGGGTGAACTGGTGAACACCCCCATCCTGAAGCGCACAACCCGCCACCAAGTTCGTAGAGAACGAGGGGAGGTGGAGACCTGACAGTGTGCCCGACGGGACAGCAGGGCAAGGAAGGAGGGTGGAGGAGGTCGCAATGACCGGACCCCCAGAGGGGTCAGCGAGCGAGACAGCAACTGGTCGAGCAAGGGGCTCAAGAGCAGTGCGGTCACGAAAGAAACAGCGCGAAGCGCCTGAGTCTAGAGTGAAGGTGTGCAGTGCCTCAGTGGACTCAGTAGCACCTGGGGTGGCGGACACACACGCACCTAGAGCAGTAGCCTCACCAGTACCTGGGGCAGCAGTCACGCAAGCACCTAGGGCGGCAGCCTCACTCGTGCGGATGCCTGGGTCAGGCGGAACACTCAGGTACTGGTCCTCCTCTCCACTAATAGTCAATGCATACATTGCTTTGAGAATAACATCAAAATCAAGAGCATAGATATCGATATCCTTCTTGAGGAGATCAGCCCACCGAGGGAGCTCAGGAGCGTCAGGAAACTGAGCACGCCAAGCGTCATCTAGGCGAGAGAAGCAGCGCTGCGAAGTGTGCGCCCTCCCGCACGTCTGTCCCTTGCGGCGACCAGTGCGGATGACGTACGTGCAGCTAAGGCTACCCCCCCCACCCCCGTGCTGTAAGTACCACTCACGAAGCTCCTGGGAGGACTGAGGGTGCTGCGCACTCTGGCCAGTGCCAGAGCCTCCACGACCACCACCGCCGCCTCCACCACGACCACCACCGCCCCTGCCGCCGCCACGTCCACTGCCGCCACCACCACCGCCCCCACCGCGGCCACCGCCGCCGCCGCTGCCTCCACCACCCCCACCGCTGCCACTAGCCCCTCCAGCCCCACCACCGCCCCCGCCGCTGCCACCACCCCCACCACCACCTCCCCCGCCGTCACCCCCACCACCCTTGCCTCCCCTGCCCTTGCCGCTGCGGCGCCCGCTGGGAGCGGACGCAGAGCCGACCTGCTCAGCACCAAGAAGGTCGACAGCAGCAGCAGAGGCGACAGAGGGGAGGAGGGGGGAGGGGGAACACCCCTCGAAGAAAGGGGTGCGGGGGTCGCCACGAGAGGCACCTACAGCTACAATACTCTTCTCAGCTGCAAGTAGTTCCTTCTCTAGGGCGGCAATGGTGAGCTCAGTGGGACAGCGAGCTAGGAAGTGGTCCTTGACTGTACGCAGAGTGTCAGGGAGGCGGGTGACTAGGTGGTAGAGAGTGAGCCAGAGCGGGGGAGGGTTGGAGGCAAGAAACTCAGCGGGCATGGCTGCACGGAAGCGGGCATCACTAGTACGGAGGTGAGTGATGAGGTCAGCGACTGTCTGGAAAGCGGACAGGTCGGGGAACAGGTAGGGAAGGGAGAGACGGCCTAGTGCAGCTGAGGCCGGGGAGGAGTAGCGCGCAACTACAGCAGTGTACAGGGCCTGCGCAGTCTGATGCTGGCCGAAGTGCTCACGCTCATCGACTGGCAGGGAGTTGCGAATGGCAAAGCGGGCGTGGGCATCGCGAGTCTGCCACTGCGAGCGAGCAGTAGCGGTAGCAGTAGTAGCAGGAGCAGGGACTGTGCCTAGTGCGTGATCGTACAGCGAGATATCCTCTCTGGCAGTGAGCTGGAGGAACAGGTGCAGATCATCGAGCCAGGTATCAAACTTAATCGGGCGGCCCTCAGAATCGAACGAGAGAACTGTAGGGCTAGCCATAGCTGAAGTAGCAGTAGCAGCAGTGGTGGTAGTAGCAGTAGCAGTAGCAGTAGCAGTAGCAGTAGCAGTGCTGTGCACAGGTAAGTAGGGCGCGGCTCGGCTAGGGCGGCGCGGCTCGGCTAGGGCGGCGCGACTCGGCTAGGGCGGCGCGACTCGGCTAGGGCGGCACGGCTCGGGTGGGGCGGCGCGGCTCGGCTGGGTCGCGCGGTTCGGTTCGGGTCGCGCCGTGCGGCTCGGTCGTAGAGGGGCGAGCGCGGGAGGGCCGGTCGGGGCTAGCGCGGGGCCAAAGGGGGGGGCCGTGAGAGGCTAGCGCGGGGCCTGCAGGGGACGTGGGAGGCTAGCGTGGGGCCTTAAGGGGCCGTGAGAGGCTAGCGCGGGGCCTGCAGGGGCCGTGGGAGGCTAGCGCGGGGCCGACGGGGGCCTTAGGAGGCTAGCGCGTGGCCGATCGTGGGCCTTAGGAGGCTAGCGCGGGGCTAGCGTGGGGGCGACGGGGGCTTAGGAGGCTAGCGCGGGGCCGATCGGGGGCCTTAGGAGGCTAGCGCGGGGCTAGCGTGGGGCCGACGGGGGCCTTAGGAGGTTAGCGCGGGGCCGATCGGGGGCCGTGAGAGGCTAGCGCGGGGCCATACGGGGCCTTGAGAAGGAGGCGCTCGAGGCGCAGGAAAAAGAACGGCGGCGCACGAGGGCGCGGCTAGCGGAAACGGTGGGCCCTATCGTTTCAGTCCTAGGTGGAACCTAGGCTCATAATACCATGTCAGAATGAGAAACGAGAATGAGCAGTGACTAGCAGGAACAACAGTACAAATATGTCAAACCCTAATCTGGTGCACCCCTTATGGTGTGACCCACTACAGCCTAGAACCACACAAACATATAAATGTTTGACAAAATTTGTCAGAGGGATTCGCCGAGGAAAAGAAAACCTCCGCGAAAACAGACTCGACGAAGACGGGAACTCTCCAATTCGTGTTGGTGCAACCCTACAGTTTGCACTCGGCTTGTTGTCCGTGTGCGTGCATATGTGTGTGTATGGAATGGTATGAGGGCATGGGATAATATTGTGAAATACTGAAACGAGAATGAGAGCACTAAGGAATGGAATGTGGTACAAATATGCAACCCTAGAAATGTGTACCCCATAAAGGCTACCCCACTACAGCCTACAGGACATTAGGATTTGACACACCCCCATAGGCAAAGTGGGGGAGAACAAGGGGTCACAAGACCAGTCAAGCAAAACAAAGCAAAGCTCAGGGTGGATCACAAAGTCACCACACATTCCGAGCACAAGTTCAAGGCCAGAAGGCCAGTTCACATGCAGGAGCACATATATATATAAAAGGCTAAACAAGCAAGAGCAGGAGTATATATATGTGACAGTACAAGCAAGGTCAAGAAGTGAGCAAGTGAGGCAAGGCAGGCACAAGACCAAGCTGAGTACAGAAGCGCTGATGATCACAAGGCGCAAGTGCCTTAGTGAAGATATCAGCAGTGTTGGCCTCAGAGGCCACGTACGCAAGTCGCAACTGACCACGCTGCTGCAGCTCACGAGCAAGAAAGTAGCGGAGAGCAATGTGCTTCGTTCTGTGCTCCAGGCGCTGCTCCCGACACAAGGCCAGCATGGCCTTGTTGTCTACGTACAGGACTGGAGGAGAACGAGGCGGCTCTCCGAGGTCAATCAGCAGGTAGGTGAGCCAGCGAAGCTCCTGAGCAGCCATGGCTCTTGCGTAGATCTCAGCCTCACAACTGGAGCCTAGAACGGAAGACGAGCGAGTAGCCCGCCACGAAACAGAGCCGGAACCAAGGCTGAAGGTGTAACCCTGTGACGACCGCTGTGTAGCCTGGTCGTGAGCCCAAGAAGCGTCTGCGTGCCCAGTGAGGACCATTGGACTCTGCCCTCCAAGCAATAGCCCCATGCCCGACGTACTGCACAAGTAGCGCAACACCCTCTTCGCTGCAGCCATGTGCTCTGGTCGGTGTCTCCCAGGAGCAACATAGCGTGCGAGAATGCTAAGAGGGTATGCAAGGTCAGGTCGTGTGCAGGTCATTAGGTACATGAGGCAGCCAACAAGCTCTGGGTACGGGCCACTCGACTCTACGGACTCATCCGAAGGCAGAGCTGAGAGCGAGTGGCGAGTAGGCAGAGGAGTGGCCTGAGGCGAGGAGTACGTGAAGCCGAAGCACTGAAGGACCTGCTGCACCATGTGTGACTGAGTCAGGGTAATGGTGCGGCGTGCTCTGTCCCGGGTGATCTGCAAGCCAAGGTAGCTGCGCAGTTCACCCAGGTCTGTGCACGTGTGTCTCTTCTGCAGCTTGGACTTCACGTGGGCGAGTCCAGTAGTGTCACCAGTGGCAAAGACCAAGTCGTCGACGTACACGAGGATGTAGAACGGCGGCAAAGAGGTGTCGGTGCGCAGAAACAGTGACGGGTCGGCAGTAGAGGGAGCAAACCCAAGAGCCGCAAGCGTAGTCCTCAGTGTGTCGTGCCACTCATGCGGTGCCTGGCGGAGACCGTAGACTGGCCGCCGGAGGCTCCACTGGGTGCCAGGAGGAAAAG